AAGCACGAGAGTTGAAGATCACAATGGAAAATTTGAGAATTCGTACCATTTTTCGGCTGAACAGAACGAACTTCCCATAATTCAGTTGAGTTTCATGTGATTTCTGAAATCATCATCTTTCCAAAGATCCAACTGCTGAACCGTTTTTTGAATGCAATTGATCATTCAATGGCTATCGACAAAAACAATATTGCATCAAATCAAAATATCAGTTTAAGCAGATCCACACTCTTCATAATGCCACATAATCAAAGAATGCTAGTTGAATATTTTCCCGAGCATTTTCGATTGAATTGAATGCATCACTTTAATAATATTTCACCGTATTAAGCACACCAATAGTGAAATAATGAGGTGATTGTTCAAATGAGACTTGTGAAATAATGTGGTGATTGTCTAATAGCCTTATAGATTTAATTGAATTTGGTAATAAAGTGATGGAAGCAGAGGCATTCGGCACAGGGCAGTTTTGTTGCTGATCTAAATGTTAGAATAAGCTCTGACCTTGTAATGGAAATGAACTCAATGCTTCATACAGACTGAAGCACAACCACGAAACAGATTCATTAGTAGTTATGCAGTTGACCAAAGAAAAGAACAAAGCTTATACAAGATAATTTATCGCTTCACCAAGTACCAATTGATTTAGTTGCCATTCGTTACAATTCTATGTGAACCGTTTGATTTTATTGTGATAAATATGTCAGCACGACATTGTATCGTGATATTTATCATGGTGCAATGATGTGTGCATGAAATGGAATATGTGTTGAAATGATATTGTGTTCCATGTAACTTCGTTTAAGTATTGAAATTATTTGATATACAAGATTGGCAAGATCAATTATTGAGATTATTTTATCAAGTAGATTTTGGAAAGGCTTGAAGGTTCGAGAATTTAAGACAACACTAAGATGGATGGATGGAAATGACAAGTGTTGCAGAATCTAAATTTTGTGACACTTGAAGTTGCCAAGAATCGAAGTTACATGCGACAATTAAATATGTTATTGTATTTTGCTTAAGTCGCTGGTTCTTTTATTTTGCAATTTGATGATATATTATTCACAAGTAAATTCGATATATTGTTCCAGACTCGTAATCAGGGCTAAAGAAGTGGGGAATTACTTCTTGAGCAAAAATGTAATAGCGAGAAACACGGGAAATAGTTTCACTGAAATGTTTGCACAAAAGCCGTAGAACATTCATGCTGAAGATCAGGCAACAGCAAGTCCTGTAAAGGATTGCATCCAAACTAAGAGACATCTTCCATCCAACAGTAATAGCGTTTACGAGTCTGACCATTTTGTTATGTGATGTCCATGTTTCTATGTTTTCGTTGTTATGTAAGTTTGTTGTTTTCAAAATCATGTTTGAAATTCATTACTTGATCGGATCGCCGGTATAAACATCCACATCAGCAACAATCAGTATTCTCCAAATGAAATCCAGTCAACGCGCATCACCAACAGTAATATACTCAACATCAACATTCTCCTCAACGACAAGCTCAGAATCTCAATTATCCCATCTTATCAACGATATTCTCGTGTTCAACCTGTGTTCATAACCTAACTGAACATCACAACAGAACACTGACTAAGCTTCGGCCAGTAAAGAAGTAATGCTCTCAAGACGAACGTCGATGCTACTGATCCTAAACTCAGTTTCCGTTCGACCAAATCAACATCATATGAAGAAAGTTATTGTACCAAAACCACTATCTATTTATTCATCAGTGCCAATGTCGTCAACAATATTATCAGCACGTTCATTTGAAATATGCCTCCAGAAACGGTCCACTCTTCCACATAACTTGAAAGCGCCAATTGAGTCGAATCGAGCCAAGATGAGAGCACTAAAACCTAAATTTCCCTCATTATGCCCAATGAACAGTAATGGAATATACGTTCAAATGCTCGATTATGAGCAATTGGTCAATGGGTCTGTTGTTGCCGAAGCTTTTATCGGTACGAAAGCCCGTGCTTACGCTCAAATGATATGCGGTTCGACTGTCGCCACCAATCCTCCCCGAAAACGCCTACTCGAATCAAATACCAGCTCGTTTAATACTGTCGAACCTCCATGAAGGGCAACTCTTTATTCAACGCGAAATCGCACACAGGTCTATATTGTGATGGGTGATGAGCACTCAACAATTGATAACGATTCGAACGAAGAAACAATGTCAATGAAATTGACCGTTGAAACAGAATCAGAGGAGACTCGGCAATGGAACCACAGCGACAAATATTGAAATAATTAAAAATAAATTAAAAATTTGAAAAAATAAAACTAAAAATAAAGAAAAAAATAAAAATAAAAATAAAAAATAGAAAATAAAAAATAAAAATAAGAAAATAAAAGACAAAAATAAAAAAATAAAAAATAAAAAAATAAAAAATAAAAACAAAAAATAAAAACAAAAATATAAAATATAAAAAAATAAATAATACGAAAAGATGAAAAAATTGAATTGAAAGATTTATTCTATGTGTATTATAAAATGTTATGTTTGAAATGTTTTAGTGAATGTTTCTAAGAATCGCTTTGTATTTTGAGGATTAATAACGGATTTATTAGCCTCGTATTTGCGATGTTCTTTTTCTTGTCTTTATCATTATTAACATCGGATTCTCGATTTTTATTTGTAGCGAATGGCATTTAGATAATTTTCACTCCTGTATCATTATACCTTAATGGAAATCTAGTGGCTAGAAGTCTAGAAGTTCCACTGTAAATGTCTGCAAACGGGCGTTTTGTTAGATGTACTGGTTTCAGCTTTTGGAAGTTATAGCCAGTGAAGAATGTCTTTGCTATCCTGATATCGTGTTAGGTTGAAGGGATTCTTGCGTTACGATTGAATTAGAGTGTGAATATCAGTCGAGTTATCGTTAATGAAAAGTAATGTGAGATATGTACGTGATAGCAGAAGACGTTCGTTCTGATGTAGTGCAAAAGAAATGTGGTGAGGCAATTAACGGTGAAATATTATCAATCGTTCTATTGAATTCTATTTTCCTGGTAGTGATACCTTTCGATCCATACTGTTCAATAAGCTGAGGCTAAAAACGAATAAGCAAAAGAAAATCAACTAGTAATAAGTGAAATTAGACGTAATTAATGATCAAAAGATGGTTCAGCAAATGAGGGTCTTTATTTTCCCACATTATCATATCGTCTACTCCACCTATTCATAATAAAATAGTTCGTTCTGTTTATAGTGATAGAATCAGATGGGGACAACACTTGCATTCCCTCAGTGGCGCACAGAATTGGACAAAACTCCATTATTTCTTTGCAAATTATTTGAGAGGTAATGCTGACGGTTATAGCAATCGCATTACTTAACAACGGTTATCATTGAAAGCTTGTGACATTGAAACCAAACAGCGATACAGTCATAAATGGAAGGAATAGTAAACTAATGAGAATTATTATTGCATATTTTGATAACAGTTTTGTCAGTGATGTTCTAGTGTCAGCGACACATACATCTGAGGATTCAAATGGGTCGCATGCATTTCGTGGATAATTGCTTGACACTTATTTTGGCTGAGAATTTGTAACAGACTCCTCATCAAGAATTGTCGCCACTGGGTTGTTTAATTTGAAAAACATAGCAAAAGTTTATTTCTGCTGGGATTTGCGAAATAGGTGGCACTGGTAACACATGCAGAAAGAAGCTCAGAGGGCGAAAGAAGTCTAATATACGATATATTGGTGCGTTGATTAAAGAATTTATCTCACGATGAGTTAACAGCCACATTAGCTCTTCAACTGGTGAAAATTTCATTCGAAGACATGAGTACGAAAAGATGCGAAATGACTGATTTTGATCGCGAATATCACCACTAAACTTGATGTTTAGTTGATAAATTAAGTTTTTGAATTTTTGATTTTTGTATAAATTAAGTTGACTGAATTTCTACACGTTTCATAAATATAGCGTGAGTATTCATAATGTTCGTAAATGTTCATGCAAAGTAATGTTCACAAACGTGAATTATGTATGAATCATAAATTCGGGTGAATTTCTCTTTTTAAGTTCATAAAGTTCACGTCTAATGATGTAGCGTCGTGTCGTTCGAGTTAAATTACATCGTTTATGGATTAATTTCATTGAATTAATGTTATTCACTGCTCTCTGTTCGGTCAAATGAGCGTTCAGTCACACAGTCATTCAAATCAGATGTCCGTTTAGCTGGTGCATTACTCGTAGTTCGCCCAATGATAAGGTGCATTGGTTTTGAGTGCAACGAACAAATTGATTACACCATAAGTTTATTTTGCAAATGTTAGTTGCAAAATGATCATTCAGTGTTGATATCAACGAAGGTAAAAACCATTGAAACTGAATTATAAATAGTTAATTGAGCAGTGGAAGATGCTATCACCTTTGGAACAGCATCGAATCCAGTAGAAATTTAGTATCGATACTTGGAATTGCCCTTTACAATCGCTATTAATGCATCGCGATAACCACCGGATGTATCGCCACGAATGTAGTCCACAAGGGTCTTCCCATATGCCACTTCGAATTCATCACTTATAGCCGCCATATCAATCTCAGCCCGTGAAACGATCAGACGAATCAAGTCGTTGTTTCTAGTGCCCAAACCCTGTGGAATGTTGTGGCTAATCAACTTCTCGGATTATAATTATTTTATGACAGCATGTTCCCTTGAATGGAAACAGAGCTAGTAAAAGACCAGAGAAACTCCAGTAAATTTATAATGAGCGAAGTTCAGTACTTCAGGCGAATTTTGCGTCAAATTTAAGCCCACGTGTCTACGTGTTTGACGTTTAAGTTGAATGAATTGAAATATGCTTTACTGTTTATCAGCGATATTTTGTTGATTACCTTCATCGACGCATACAATTGTTGCGCAAAGAATTTGGGTTTATTAACAGCGCTGGCCACCACAGCAAGAAATCCTCTTCGAGTATCACGTCTGAAGAATTTCTGAAATTCCCTTCGACTTAATGAGAGCGTTTTGAAACGCATATTGTTGAATGTGTGGATACGGTTAGAATATGAAAATTAATGAATATGTAACGATGAGATGGATGAATTTAGATTATTCC